TCCGGATAGGGGGCACTGGGGAACCAGAATGACTGGGGCGGGAGAGAGAGTTCTGCCAGGAAACAAGGGCTGTGACTTCAGGGCGTAAAGCCAATGTTGACAGGTCTGCCTGATGGCTGTTTATGTCCAGGACCACCATGGCACTTATTACCATGAAAAGGAGCTGAGAAAGCAGGAGATTGGCAGGGAACACCAGGGAAGAAAGCAGATGCGGGAGTCACGGTCATCCCAGCCGGATGGGGCATGAGTCCACGCTTCCATCCCTGTCGCCCCCAAGACCGACAGCCTTTACAGTATGACAAAGGTCTAAGACTGTGGGAGAAAAGGCACTCAGACTCACATGTCAGAGCTTGGAGCACGCCTGGAGGCTGCTGTCAATACGACAGCCAAGTAGGTGGTCCTGTAATATGCCTTGCACAGAGGATGCTGGGGCCACGCCAACACGGGGACGCGGTAGGAAGGGCTCGTGCCCTCCACCTCCCATCCCCCCCAAGAATGATGAGGCACAGGGCTCTCCAGCTGTCCCCTCCCTATCTCATAATGAAACAACTTCAAATGAGAGGAGGGGACGTGATATTCACATTAAATAGAACAGCCTATGAAATGAGCTATGCAAATTGGGAAACCCAAATGGAGGTTCTTTTCGTTCTTTTGTTCCGCGAGAATGTTAAATACTATGATGTTTCTCCCCATCAAGACAAAAACCGAAGACCGAGACAATCTGCAAAAGCAACACCTGGTGAATTTTATCACGGCCACCGCCAGTGGTGCCCCCAGGAGCCTGAGGCCTAGTACATTCCCTGGCCCTGGGGTCCCTAACAGGCCCTCTGATTCCCCATTTCCAAGTACACTGCCTATTCTGATTCTTTGTAAACTGACTTCAGCAGAATAATGATATTGGCGTCTTTCAGGAAAGAGGTGAAAATGGTACAAGCCTACTCTGTGCTTGCCACGGGGTTGTTCATGAAGGCGGTCTGGAAGACGGGGGGATAGTGGGTGAGATATTTGTGCCAGGATCCTTACTCTCAGCTGTTGCAAAGGTGAGTGACCAAGCGCCTGAGTAATTGGTAGGAAAGTTATGGCTGAGGGATGGGTGACCAGAACTTCTCGGCACTCTGAAGGTAGACCAGGACTGAGGCTGCCTGGAGATGTCATTGTGCTAGAAGATGGCAATGTTCAGGGACACCCCCTCATGACTTATGCTAATGTCACCGATGGTCAGGAACAGACCTGGGAAGCTGAAGTCACCTTTGGGAATGCTTTCATTGAAAAGCAAGCCATGCAGGTTCTCTCTGGACTTTCATCTACCCAACCTGTGTCTAGCCCTTAAACCTCTTCCTCTTCGCAGAGAACTGGTCTATCTCCCTTTCAGTCACTGAAAAGACACCAGGACAAAGTTCATGTAATTGCCTCTTCCAGTCTGGCTTTCTCTATTTAACTGGACCTTCCTCCATTGGCTTGGTGTGAAAGGAACATCTTTACATGGCAGCATGTCAGACATCTTACACCGAAAAAGTCTCCAACTTTTTTGGGAGGAAGTAGTTTATGTGGTTAGTTTGCTTTTGGGTAGATGTGAATACTACTGAAAAGCTGAGATGTGCATACATATCTGAGTCTGTATCCAGAGAAATAGATCTCAGCAGAACGGAAAAAGCTTATCTTAACCATTATTGAATTAGATGCTTATCCTCCAACCTTACATTGCTCTATTGGGAATTCAAATAGGACCAATTCACTGGCCACAGGCACTATTCATCCTTGTGGCTTTTCTTGTCTTTCCCTCTGGCTTACCAATTTGTTAAAGAAATAGCTCAAAATGCCATTGTGAAAGGATGAGACAAAAAGTCAAACCAGCTAAAACGTAAATGGCTAGAACATGAAACACTTGGCATTCAAAGGGGCTAAAATTAAGTTGATGGTTATGCGTGAATTTAAATTATTCCTATACTATTTGGAGATCTACTCAAGGAAACCCAAGGTTTGGGAGAGAAGGAGGTGGTTGTTATGAATTTGGTTTTGGAATCATTCAGACTGGGTTTGACCAGTACTATCTCTTCTCTTGTGATCCTAAGTGAAATGCTTAACCATGGCAAACATCTCTTTCCAATTCTGCTCAACAGAGGCATGAAATGATGCTGAATAAGCATTCCAACTTAACACGTCCAAAGCATAAGCCCTGGTTTTCCTCTATAAACTCCTCCTTCCTACAGTTATTCCTCTTTATTTCAGTCAATGCAAATTCCATCCTGCTAATTCTGTATACAACATTTGGAGTCATTCCAACTCCTCTCTTTCTCTCACACCCCATATCCAAACCTCAGCTAATCCTTAGGTACTTCTTTAAAAATACATTGGAATCTCACCAATTCTCACCACTTCTGCTGTGAGCATCCAAGTCACTCACTCATGGTCTTCTCCCATCTCATTCACTGCAGCGGATTTCCTAATGGTCTCCCTGTTTCCACCTCTGTGCCTCCTATAGCTTCCTCTAAATTCAGAAGCCAGACTCAGTCTTATAAAACAAATTCATGTTCCTACTCAACTTTCCTCCCCATAATGGTTTCCTATATCATTGAGTGTAAGCAAAAATCCTTCCAATAGCCTGACCCTTCCTCCCCCATCCATGATTTACTCCCATGGTCCTCTCCCTTGGTTTCATCTCTAATTTCATATCCTATCATCCACCTCCTCTAACTCAACCACACTGGCTTCCTTGCTGTTGATAAGATGTGCCTGACACACTTCTGTCTCTGAGTCTTAACCCAGGATATTCTTCTAGATATCCATATGGCTTGCTTTTGTATTTTCCCATATCTCTGATCAAATGTCACTTTCTTAATGGAGACTTGACTGACTTCCTTAAATGTACAGTTCCCATCCCACCCCCCTTCCATGTTGTTTTTTTATCCCTCTTCTCTAAGAATTTTTGTCTGTTTTGTTCACTGCTATATCCCTAGTGGCGAGAGTAGTAACAAGCTTACAGAAAACATTCAAATATTTATGGAATACGTAAGTGAATGCATGAATGAGTGAATGCATAGCATCTCAAAGAACCTAGAGCCACTTCTCTCCCAAGAATTTTTAAGGATTAGGTACGTATCCTGCACAATGCTCAGTTTCATCGTAGGGACCAAATACACAACTATTGTTCTCTCCTATCTCCTGTGTCTATTCAGTCCAACAATGGCTAAGTACTCTTGCGGTTAAATACTTAATTCATAAATACAGAACTAAATAATGCATAAGGGACACCCAAAAGGAAGGTTACCTGAGGATGCAATATAAGGGAAATCAACGCAAATGGCAGAAGCTAGGAACTTAGAATACTACTCTGCCCTGCAAAGGCGAGACTATTGTCGAACACTGGCTCTAAGCCATTGAGACCATCCTATACCCGGAGTGACCTTCAGTCACGTAATGTGGTTTCTCCTCCCCAAAAGTGTCAATTTAGAGTGATACTTTTCCCAGATGGAAAAATGTAAATATACGGACTGAAAATAAACTATGAAGAAATGTATGGACACAGGTGGGGTCTACATGGGTTGGGCATTTTCTATCTCTGTTCTGGCTGGAAACATCTAAAAGCAAAAGACTGAAGACTTTCACTGCTGTTCCAAAACAGTGTGTCTCAGCTTGATCCTGATATATATTTTTTTAAGTTTCATTTATGAAAAGGCTCTCAGGGGGTGCCTGGGTGGATCAGTGGGTTAAAGCCTCTGCCTTTGGCTCAGGTCATGATCCCAGGGGCCGGGGATTGAGCCCCGTGTCGGGCTCTCTGCTCAGTGGGGAGCCTGCTTCCTCCTCTCTCTCTCTCTGCCTGCCTCTCTGCCTACTTGTGATCTCTGTCTGTCAAATAAATAAATAAAATCTTAAAAAAAAAAAAAAAAGAAAAAGAAAAGACTTCAGAGTATAGGATATCCAGGGCTGCAAAACCAGTATCAAGCCTGAGATTTTGTAATTATACAGTGAATTTGACAGAAATAAATCATTGCCACCACCCTATACACTCTATACAAACTAGCCACAAGAAGCCTCTCTATTAAGTGGGGTAATTGGGTTACCCATGTGTTAGGATCAGGTTGTGTTGAGAAAGACCTACTTTTCTTAGTCCAGCAGACTTCTCCTTAAAAATCTACCAATTCTCATCATACTAGGGTGTTGTATCATGGGACGGGGGAAGCCAGGTCCTTTCAGGAGCACTGGTTGGGGAATTCTAGGTAACCAAGCCTAATTTCTGAGTTCCTTTGAAAACTATTTAAAACCAAGTGAATTGTTAAAATTGTTCTGTTTAAAAATACAAACATTCAGCTACCTCAGACTTTGATAAGTAAAATAAACAAAACCGGAAACCTGGCTGAAAACCCTTAGAAAACACTCAGATACTAAGGACTCAACTTCAGTGGTTTAAAAAACAGAGGAGAGTAAACTGATTTCCACTTGGGCAAGAGCTTGTTTCTTTCATGTGTCCCAAATCAAAATCAGTATTTCTAGAATATTGGAAAGCCCTACAAGAGAGGGAGTGAGAAAGCAAGGAGCTTAGGAGTCAGTCAGGTCTGGTTTCAAGAATTACTGACCATATGATGCTGGGTAACTTACTTGCCTTCTGACAGCTCAGTTTTCCTACCTGCATAATGGACATAGTAAGGTCGATTTTGCAAAGACTTTATGAGGACTAGTAATAATGCATATAAAGCATTAGGCCCAGGACTTGGCTCGCTGAAATGTTCAGTAAATGGGGGTCTTTGCTATTATTTCTCCAATTCCAAATTACATAATTATAATTAGGTTTATAATTCAGGTTATAATTAGGTAAAAGGCAAAAAGCAATTTCTAATTTTTAATGCTTTTTACCTAGTTAGTCCATTGCAAATTCAAGGTTCTAGTTAAGTCTGAAAGGTGCCACTCACTTGCTTTTTGGAGAACCATCTCTTCTAAATTGGGCACCAGCATACTTATCTTCTAAAAACATTTTCTCTGGTCCTCCATCAAAAAAAAAAACAAAACTTTAGACATTGGGGGACAAATCCAATATTTCATTAGTACTTAGGTCCTACCACAAAATTTCTGAGGTTGATTACAGTGTCTTGGGGGCATTTTGCTTGCTTTTCCTCTACTGATGAGCTTCTCTGGACCAAAAGTTTTGGAGTCACCACTAGTGTTTATGGGGCCATCATTAGTGACCTTCTGGGAAGAGAAGTATTGAGATTGATTTTCATTCGAGGGCCGGGAGATGCATCATCTCAAATGTTCTCTGATCCCCCTTCTTAGAGCTGAGCCTGCTGTTCTGGGGGCAGATCTGGATGTGCCCTGTGGAGGCTGCAGTTGGTAAATATATAGCATTTGCCTCCTGCTGAAGCAAGAAAAGATTTGCAAAGTGGAAAAGGGAAGGTAGGGAGAGGCAGAGCTTCAGAAACTTTCTTCCTCAGAAATCCATGTACTGAAAAGTCAATTTAATGCCACACGTCTGGAGAAACTGATCACCTGTGTGTGACTTCCTCGTAAGGACTAAAAAAACCAGTGGGAAATAACTGACAGAATTGATGGTGAAAACTGGTGATCTCTACATCGTAACAGTTTATCTTCCCAGAAAGGAGAAAGGAACAATTTGATAACATTAAAGACTTCTCGGACTTAAAAAAATGGGAATTTGGTATCAAACACATTTGGGAAATGCTGCAGACTATACCCACCTAATGCTCATTAGACTATGGAAAGAAAAGTTCTGGGGCAGGAAATCCATAGAACTAGAGAGAGGAGGTGATGTTACCCTGTAGGGGATGTGGCCATGTTTGAAGACATTTTTGGTTATTACAACCAAGGGGATATACTATTGGCATCCAGTGGGTAGAGGTTAAGGTTGCTGCTAAACATCTTCCAAGGCACAGACCAGCCCCCCCAGCTAAGAATTACCTGATATCATATGTCAACAGTGCTGAGCCTGGGATATCCTGATTCATACCTTTTTATAACCCATGAAATACTTGCTGTATCACTGCCTTAGTCTTCAGTCAAAAACACAATCTGCTACTTTCCTGATAAAATGCACACTAGGGGTTCATCCTATTTTTTAAAAAAATATCTGAAGGAAAACTTAAATATTTAACTCTGACACCATTTCCTCGATCTAGCTGGACCATTACATACACGCATTCTATCATGGATGAGGGAAACATGGACTGCTTGAAACACAAGGCGAAAAGCAACAAATACATACGACCTGTCAGGCTGTTACAACAATTTTAATGCATGAACACGTTGGAGTAGCCCTTGTTTTCTAGAAGCACCCATCGTCATTGATGTCCTTCTTTCTAAAGTTGGTCACTCTTGCTGAACTTGCCATGCAGAATGTCTGTGGATTATACTGGACACATTTGTATACATTTGTAACAACCTCCCACTCCCCCCTCCAGAAAAAGGATGAGGGACACTGATTGTGGATTTGCACATTCAGTCTGGTAAGGCAACTTTGAGATCTCATACTTTCAGCTCAGCCTTGAAAATCTTTGACTGACCTTGATGGCTTCCTGGAATCCCACATAATATTTAATGGGAAATTCAGTTCTCCAGAGAAAACTGTTTTCTGATAGCTAAGCAGCATCGTTCCATGGGGCTTGTAACTGTGACCTCAACTTTGACTTTTGATTAGGAATCCTCCTTCTCCTCACCAGATGTCTCTTCAGGCCTTCTCAACCTTGGCACTATTTCAACATTTTGGGTGAGATAATTCTTTGCTGTTAGGGGCTATGCCATGCATTGTAAGATGCTAATTGACATCCCTGGCTTCCATCCATTAGAATTCAGTAGCAGTGCTAACCTATCTATGACACTTGTCCAAAGACACTGCCTAATGTCCACTGGGCGGAGGTGGGGCTAAAAATCACTCCCAACTGAAAACCACTAATTATCCTAAGGTTTTCAGAAAGTCCAACAAGCTCGCAAAACTGAATTGATTTTAACTGACTTGATAGAGGTGGGGCCAGAGAGCTTTTTTTGGTGGACAGAAGTAGTAAAGAGCCTTCTGAACATCAGTCCAAGAAGATCAAGGTCTCAGACTAAAAGGGTTGGGAAGTCCTGGTCTCTAGAGAATGGGACATGTACAACGTGCCCTTGAACCCTGTACACAGCAATGAAGATCTCAACAACAATGAACAAACATGCTTTTCTGCACAGCACCTCCTCTCTGACATCATGTCCCTGACCCACCACCACTAAGGGGTTCCTGGATATTTCACAGCTGATGACGAGAGGGAAATCATGATTTCACCAACAGAGTTCAAACTGCAATGAAATACGTGAGTTGGTTGGTTGAAGGCTTTTTATTAAGTGCAAGGAAAATAAACAACACACATTTTTGGAAAAAAAAAAAAAAAGAAAAAAAAGCTCTTAGTTTTCAAAGGAATCCGGGCTTTACTGGGGAGCAGCAGATTTAAAAAAAAAAAAAAAGGTGAGTCTGCATATAGCCAAGTATTTACTGGAATTTACTGGCAAGGCTTGCAATGGAAGTCTGGATTTCCCTGGGAAAAGGGGAGCAAAAAAACCCCACATCATCCCCCAGGGTCTTTCATTTGAGCTGCATGGGTGGGAGGGGGCTGAGGGAGGAAGGGAAATGGGGACAAGGAGAAGAGAAAGTCATGGGAAATGAGCCAATGAAAAACGAGCAAAGATTCTGTTTTTGCTGAACCCTGGCTGTAGCCCTCACTCTTATTATGATGTGAAAGTGTAAATCTGAGATTAAAAACAGCTTCCTAAAATATGTCAGAATTTTTAAAGTCCTGAAATAAATCCAGACCTACACTTCACTTCCTTTGAAGTAAAATACATCCTCTGAACCTATTTATGTTTCTTTTAACAATAACTTATTTTAAAATATATCAAACCTACAGAAAAATTGCAAGATCATCACAAAGAACTCCCTTATCCTCGTCTTCCAACTGGCAACATTTTGCCACACTTGCTCATTCCTCCCTCCCTATATAATAATGGTGTATATGTATATATGAGCGGCTTGTAGACATAATGTCTCACCAGCTCTAAAACTCTAGTTTCCCCAAATCAAGGACACTCTCCTACATAAATACCATATAACTCTCCAAGTCAGGAAGTCACTATTGATACACCGCCAACATCCAATCCTCTGTTTCTTTTTAATTATTCCCTCATACAGATTAGCATTTTATTTCCATATTTCTAGGCCAATGCAATTAGGACTTCAGCTCCTAAGTAGCTAGGCCCATTTGTTCATCCATCCATTAATCCATTCATTTTAGTATTGCTTATTTTACACCCACTTTGAGTAAGGCAACAAGCTTAAATAGTGGGCCTGTTCAGCCCAAAGGAAATGAAGGTTTAGGGTGATTAAATAAGTGATTTGGTTAATAGATTTTTCACTTGAAATGTGGTGACTATTTCTTCCTTTGCTTTACCTAAGAAGAAGAAAGCAAACTTGCTGTTTTTTTCCATTATAGTTTCCTTCTCTTTATTTCACACAGTTCCCAAACCATAGCCAAGTCTTGTCCTACCCCTGCCATGTGGACGGAGGAATACAGGGGACAACGATGGCTGAAGACAGGAACAGAACCCAAAGCTGTAGACTGTCCTACCAATGGGAACAGAGGAGACTCAGTGTTGCCCCAAGAAGAGCTTAGTTTTAGCTCAAGAAACAGTTTGGAAGACATCTCATTGCATTTGATGGCTTTTATTTCAAACAAAGAGCTTTCAGTGTGAGCTCACTTTTTAATAAATTTTAATTGCATTATTCACTTGTAGGGTAGCAGATTACGTTCTACAGCAAACCTTATCACCACAAACATCTGCAAATCTCCTAATTGGCTTTAACAAAATCTGATCTATTGTCCCGATTATCTACCGATCCACTGAACAAAGAAAACACTTAGATTTATTACCCCAAGATATTTCATTTCTTTTTGTATATTAAAATGTCAGACATATCACCAGTAAGTGTTTATTAATTAGGGGATACTTTTTTTCCTCAAAATCTTCTAAAAACACAAATTTTGCTCTTTACTTGGTTTTAATTTAAAGAGAAACAATTTTCTCATATCCATCCCTTTAGAGCTCTGAAGCAAAACTTGAAAATGGCTCAGGAATTCCAGAATGTTTCAAATAGTTACAATTTAGGAGAGCAGAAAATCTTAAATTTCCTCTTTCCACAGAGGTTGCATTTTACCACTTCACCAACTAAAAAGCAAAATGAGAGGATTGTATCTTGGGTCAAACCTGGGGCTTGAAAGTCAGAAGAATCCCAGGTTCAAGTCCCTTCTCAACAGTGTGACGTAGACCCAACCAGTTAACTTCTCTGATGGTGCTAATTTCTTCAAGTAGAGAGGATTAAATTAGAAAATACGGGTGAATTGCTTTGTGTAATTCCTAGCAAAAAGTAAATGCTCCAAAATGTAAGTGATTGTTATAATAAAAAAAAAAAAATCAAAGCCTTCCCAATAATCATGGGAAGAAGTACTATTTCTTTCCAAAATTAAGTGGAGGAAAAAAACAGCTCTTTTGTGGATAACTGAAGCTACCCGTTCATCCACTTTCTGTGATACTCAGAATTATTTTACTTATCGATGACATCATCACTCAATCTGCACCCATTTTGTTGCATACATTTTAATTTCAAGGGGGTGTCCGCGTGGGCCATGAATGTGAATAAGTCCATAAGGGCTTTCTTAACACTGGGAAGGCTAAGTATTGCCAAGCTAAATGATGAGAATCACAGTGATGGAGGAGACATTGCCTCAACCCTGATTCTTCTGAAGTGTTTTTCAAACACAGCCCCTTAAAGTTAATCTCCCCAACCTTTACCTACAGGGCTCAGTGAAGAATATGAAAAGCTGCCTTCCTGAAACTTCCTTCAAAGAGGGAATGATCTCCTGGAATTCAAGCTTCTACAAGGTGACTACCTGGTGTTTCCCATTTTTGTCTTCTCCTAAAAAGCATCAATCAAGCCTTGCCCTTTCAGCCCACTGAACACATAAACACTCTTTCTCCTTAACTGAACTTACTGCCACGATGAACTTGAACTCTAAGACGCACAAGAGGAGAGTTGTTTTAACAGCTGCTTTTACACGGAGGCCCTGGAGTTACTACTCTCAAGACAGCTGGTTCTGATAAGCCTCTCTTTGCACTGTCCTGTTTTTTCTAATGCCCAGCTGTCAGAAAACACCCACTGCAGTGTTCCAAAGCAAAGGCACAAAGCAGAAGAAAGGCAGGAGAATGGTACTCACTTGGATATAAGGGCATCCTACTTAGGGACCCTTTTTACAAGCTGGCATAGGGTTTTTCTCTCCTATTTACTTTAATAAGTTTAGTAATTTCTTGGCTAGTTGAGTATTAATTGCTTAAGATGTACTGTTGTCTGAGGTTGCCCTGTCCAATATGGTAGCCACCAGCCACAGGTGGCTATTTAAATGTAGAGTAATTAAAATTAAATACAATGTAAAGTGCGGTCTCCCTGTTGCACTTGGCCACGTTTCAAGGGCTCTGTATTAGCCACATGGGTCTAGTAGGTTCCATAGTGGAAAGCAAAAATAGAAAACATTTCCATCATTGTAGAAACTTACTGGACTGCATTGGCCAAGGCATATCCTCTTTCTAACAGGAGAAAGGGGATGCAGATCTGCCTACGCATAATGGTTTTGTAGGCTCGGCCTGTATTGATTACTTTCCATACTACTTTCTGTACACTCTCTTTTTTTTTTTGGCTGCCAATGTTCCATTTTATAAATTCTTGGAAAGGGAAGTTGTGGTCTTTAAAACCACCCATGAAAATGATCCCACTTTGGAGGAAATAAAACAACAAGAAGCAAAGGTGGTGGCATGGCAATCCACACATTCCAGGTCTTTTTATTGGTAATCATTAAATAACACAGGGGGAAATGAACTTCAGCCAGGACTTCGCACACAGGTGTGGAGGCTGAGAACCCTCGTGGGGAGAGATGGAAAGCCAGGCCCTCTGCTTATCCTGGCTCTCAGATCACTGAACTCATGTCCGGGTTATAATGTAAGGGTGAACAGAAGCACACCCTCTGATAGGAGGTTTTTAAAAGTTCCAGGCCACCAGCCACAGAGCATTTATCCCTGAAAATGATTATGCAATTGTACACTGAAAGGGAAAGGTAGGACTGATAATTTTTATTTAGTGAACAAAGATCATTAGTAACCGTGAGCGTTCCTCTAAGAGCAATCTCTTATTTTTATCTTTATGATTGTAATGAGGCTGCCAGGGAAAACAGTGTCGTTCTTTATTTACACGTGTAATTGGTTTTATTTGTTTAATACCATATTTTCTCCTTCTCTACTTGAATGTATAGCTGACTTGTTCACTGTTGTATCCTTAGCACCTAGAATAGTGCCTGGCTCACAGTAGACATGTAAAAAGTATTTGCTGAAAAATAAATGATGACCACCTCCCCCCTTCTAAAGAATTGTTGACGCCTTCTCCATAAAATAAATCTTCCTCGACTGCCTCTACTAATCAGGATTCCCTCCCAACCAGTTAGACGTGGACTCAATCTCTACCTCCCACTCCACATTCCAAAATTCCCATTCCTTTCCGTTCCAGAAGGACAACTCGCTGACGTGAATCAGTGAGAGGACCTACACTCCTCCTCAGGGTCTAATAACCCTCCTTTCCCTGCTTCCCCCACCTGTGGACTTTTAAAAACTGCAAAAATAGAAATCTGCCACACTATCATGAAATATCACTGTCAGGAGGTAGGAACAGAGTCTCCCATAGGCATACAGTCACCAGAAACAATGAAAAACAAACAAACAAAAAAACCAAGTAAGTTTAATCTCCAATGAGATAGATGCAGGCCAGTGTTTTGCTTGTTCTGATTTAAAAAAAACAAAACAAAAAACAACTTATTTTTAATACTCTATTATGATAGAGTCAAATAGTATATTTATTTCTTTTTTTAAAAGGCACTAGCAGTATATCTAAGATGTGTCTTCATTATTAGAAAAAATCTTATGTTTATTAAAAATGCATAAAAATTTAATGTGATATTCCTTATGGTCAAAAATCTTTACATCATCCTCCTAATCTGGCTAAGGTGATAACATTAAAATGAAACAAGAGATGTTTTGCCATTCCCAAAATATAACCAGTTGTTTGAAGTGTTTTTAATCACTGGTTATGGGAATTTACCAATACAGAAATAAATTTGGATTTTCTGTGGCCGGAGTCAAATGGTTAATGCCAATATTAGCTAAATAATGTTGAGGTTGATGAAGTCTGAGTTATAGGTATATCTTTTATTGAATATCAACAGGAGTTTAGAGAACTCATTCTGAATATAGGCTATTTCTAGCCCATGAAACAGGATTAATGTAGTCAGTATACCGACACTGACATTTTATTATAGTAAATGATCACACAGTCAAAGGGATTCATAAAAGCACCCCCCTCATGGGGTAATATGGCGGCTAAATATAGTGTGTTTGCTTAACTTGGCTTTGTACATAGTAAATATTCTCTAAAAGTTAGCTATCATCATCTGCTTTGGAGAAGTTATCTGATTTCACACCTCATATAAACCTCAAATTCACATGGGGACTCCCTGATTTTGGTCTTTTAACCCTCAGTTACCATTCTAAACCACACATAAATGGGAGACTCAGTAGGGGCACGTGCAGAACGAAGAGGCGACAGGGTCATCTTTACAAATTTTTACAAATTTTTTCAAAACTGCAGGCTCTCTTAAAACTTCCACGTTTACTGTGATATTTTATTTTTCTTTAATGAGAAATTCTTTCTGAAATGTACTGCAGATGAACAAATAACAAAACTGACAAACACTGAAGTCTTATGGTTATCTGAACACAAAGAATAAGGTGGGATCGAATTTGTGCACGTTAGGTTAGTGTTTTCCTGTCCCTAGCTCTTCTTACATGTTTAGAACCGTTTCCCCTAATCACTTGCTTTGTCTTCTGGCTATGTTTTATCATTATCTACAAATTCAGTAAGTGGAACATTCATATTTCATAGTTGAGACTCAGTGAATCAGATAACAGTATCAGAAAAGGAAAAAAACAACAAAATGTTAAGCCTCGTATATTTTGGTTTATATCATTTCCAATTCAGAGTTTTTTTTCTTTTTTAAGTATCTTTTGAAAATACACATTTTAAACTAGCCAATTACATAAAGCTACTCCGATTCGGGAGAGGGACCATACAGGTTGGAGGGGATTTACAAAATTAAAATGTATCTTTTTTAAAACCAAAAGAAACATACACATGTACTTCTAATTCACATAGCCTGTTTGCCTTTACAGTCTGCTGATAAACACTGACTTTTAAACATTGTATATAAAATTAAATAACATGGAAAAAATAAATATGCTTTATTATATAAACACATAGAAATCTGTACTGCTCAAAATATTCAGATAATACTAGGCTTGGCTGCTCATAACTGTATTCAGAAAGTATGGTGGTGATATTTACAGTCTTTATTTTTGCTAGAGATGGATGCAGTGAGGTGACAGAATACTGTTGTCAACATTTTCTCTTCCTACCTATGGAAGCTGCAAACTTTAATACGAAAATGAGGTAGACACAAATTCACAAGTTGGCCAGGCAGAGACAAAAGCACAGTTCCTTCGTGAGCTCATAAATTCTCATTATTCGGGTCAACAAGCATAATTCCAAAGCACCTAAAGCAAGGCTCAGAGATCACTTTCAGGTTTGTCATGTAAAACCCCAACAAGTAGTTTCTCCTAAGGAGAACCACGGTCTCCAAGATGATCAGCAAGCAGATAAACGGGGCAGGGCTGAAAGGAATGCTACGGGACCAGCTTGGACAGGTGACATCACCTGCAACCTCTGCTACTTTCATTATCTCGATGGACCAGCTTACTGTCAAATGCTGCGGACTTTTAACCTACTTTCGGCTGTTGGTTTGACAGCACACAGCACTCTTTCCAATGTCCTCTCTAGTGATGGGATACGCACACTCCCTCATCAGTCAGCTCCCAGGACTCTGCTCCCAGGAGCCAGACTGAAAGGTGGATCAGTGTAAGAACCTTATTTGGAAATCAGCAAGTTACCAAGTAGGAGTGCAAGGACACATTCGAAAGAGGACAGAAAAGGCTGGATTTTTGGAGGTTGTTTTTCACCATCACGATTCTGAATCCGCAATGACACGAGCCAGAACTAAGGGTCTAAAACGGGTATTTGAACCTGACGTTCACCAACGGTTCCTTTTAGAGACTCTGGCAGCCACGCTAACAGCGATGTGGCAGTTTCTTTCCTAAATACCGCTTCTTAGTAACAATTGTTGAATGAGGCTATCTCCATTTTGACCTTGGGAAAGGCCTCCTCCCACAGCAGTAGTTGCTTCTGAACACTGTCTCTAGTGGGTAAAAATCTGGAGAGAAAGCAACCCTATGGAAGGACTAATTGCTACCCTTGGTCTCTAACAGATCGAGCAGGCTTTCAAGAGAAAGCAATGGGTTAGCACCTCAAATATACTTTTTGTTGTTGTTAATTTCATTGTCAGTTACAACAATGAAGCACCATACCAGGGGCTTTATGGCTATGAACACGATTCACTGAGGTATGCTTCACTTTAGAATTGCTCAGAAATTGTACCAAAGCACCTACAAAAATCAACATAAAAGTAAAATCAAAGTTCTACAGTAAGAATCTGAAAGACTGCCCTCACACACATACACACACACTTTTAAGTAATATACTACAAATGTATCAATTTAAATAAAATGCTTTTGATGTCATTTTTAAAAAAAATCACAGTGAGAAGCCTTGCCCAGGTGGCCTTGCTCCTAGACCGTAGAGGCACTGAAATATACACTTGAATAATGATCGCTCTACAAAGGAGGCAAGAAAACCGTATCGGCAGCAAAAACAGTTTCAAAATCCACGTATTCTCTTCTGTGTATAACAGAGCATTAGCATCTCTCTCCCTCTCTTTCTGTGTGTGTGTGTTTCAGAAAACTGTGTGCAGGTCTAAGAACAACTACAATAAAAATCTTAACGTTTTCAGCTAAATTAGCAGGTCAGATTTCAAGATTTAAGCTCTTAAAACATCTGTGGGAGAGGAGGATGATCCTGTGTAAAAAAATTTGAGTGGTATTTAGAAAGCATTCAAGGAGGAGAATGCTATGGAAACCAATAAAATATATGCTATACATTGTATATAATGTGTAGGCATACACATATATGTATACAGTATATAATATTTTATGATTATACACACACACACACACACACACATCCTCTGAAGGTTAAGGGTCACTTTTTGGTCAAAATGAAAGGAAAACAACTTTTTAGAGGGCTAGTAGTTTCTGAGACATGTCTCTGAAGTGGTGTTGCTGTTGGCCGAGTGAACTAGGTAAAAATATCATGGGCTCAAGAGGGACAATTTCATGAAAAATAATCTGTCACAGGTGACTGAGGGAAGTGGGGAAGCCAGAGGATGTTCCTGACATCCCACAGTCACTTCTGATCGTTTTCAAAATGTTCATTTTGGGGGCAGTATCATCAGTACTGCAGACGAAATGCTTCAGGTGAATATACGTCTGACTTCACGTGGCATTACCTAAGCTTTTGAATGAAAGCCTGACAGCCCAGCTGACTAGAATCAGAAGAGATGATACTCCACACTCTCTAGCTTTCTACTTAATACGAAGTACAGTAGTTACAGAGCTAGGTTCTACCTGCAAACACAATCTCAGA